GGTTTAAAGATACGTGATTAGATTCAATACCAATTAATAATAAAAAAATTTGAAGTAGAAGTGAAAAAAATAAGTGAATCAAACCAATATAACTCAGCAGCAGTGACCTCGATCTTAGTGACCTCGAGAGGGGTTTAGAACAGTAATAACAATTAAGCGAGGAAAGTAAAGTAAGAGCAGTAGAGCTAAAGGACAATTCTGATGAACAGTAGGCAAAAAGTAGAGAGTATATTCTTTGCTCAATGATCAGATGATGTTACAAATGATTGGGATCCCCTTTATATAATAGGGGAACCCTAAATATGGTATATTTCTATTTACAGTAGGGAATACTCCTGATACAGCTGTCTAATCGCCTAGTACGGAATCGTACAATTATATTCCGGGATTTGCGCCATAATCTTGGGGACGTGGCAGGAATCTAGCCCATTCTGTTACAAGTCCATGACGGTACTATTCCGGGGTCGAGCATACTCGATCCCGTTAGATGTCGTGCTCTGTCTTCGAACTCGGATCTGGTCCCTCGAGCTCGAACTCGATCTTGCTTGAGCTCGGACTTTGGACGACCCCTCTAGCATATAGATCGAAGGCATACGATCTCGACCGTATACAAAATGTCTTGAAATATTTGACATACCTGGACAAATACACCAGCAACGATTCAAATGATGTATGCTCTATTCAAATAAAATTGGAATTCTTTCATAATCTAATTAAATTTACAAACATTATAGTTCATTTTAACCAAATTTTAGTGCCAGATAAATTTGTATTACGCTGACGCATGGAATAATAACTTATTTAATGTGTGCGAAGACTGGAATGAAGATCTTAAGCATTAGGAAGATTTTAAGTTGACATACTCAGATTCTGCATGCTGTAAGATCTATTAATATCTTACTTTTCTTTTTCTACTTTAAAGGCATATAACGACATCAACAAGCATATAATGGCTTTTGTTGATATGCAATAAAGTACTTTTATTTTGTCAAAAAGATAAAGAGAAAACAGAAAAAGATATAAGTGCACCAAAAAGAACTCCATTTTTCTCACACTTAATCGTTTATTTAAGGATCCTCTAGTAAACTAATTAAATAATGGAAATAACATACTACGGCGTAATTAAGTTATAGTTCAAGAAAAACACAGCTCAGAACGAATTCAGAGGACCAAATCCTAATTTTGTATTTAGTAAATTGACATTAAATGAAAAATTTAATGTGAGGTTTGAATACACTTTTTTTTCACTATCAATTGTATCTAGTGGGACAAAAAATTATACTCTCTTGTTCACCGTACTAAAAATATATTTTCACTTTTACTTGTCCATTTTAGCAAATCAAGAGAAAGATTAAAAAAAAATTCTTGTTTTACCCTTATCATTAACTACTCATTCCCCAAATTATTTTTCAATATTTTTTATTATTATTATGAGTAAAATGGTAAAATATATACCCCATCTGTTCCAGTTTATGTGAACCTATTTCCTTTTTGGTCCGTTCCAAAAAGAATGAACCCTTTCTAAATTTGGAAACAATTTAGCTTAAGCTTACAATTCTATCCATAATGAGAAGCTTTTATAACCACACAAATACTTTAGACACCTTTTTGACTTGTTTAGAACCACAAATTCTAAAAGTCTTCATTTTTTCTTAAACTCCGTGCCCATCAAACTGGTTCACATAAATTGGAACGAAGAGAGTACTTTATTTATTTTTTCTTAAGGGAGTATAAAATAAAAAAAATAAACAATTAAAAATAAACGGATGGAGTATATTCAGAATTTCCTCAAATAACTAAACTAGTAATAACCGAAGAAGAGAGTATTCTTCAAGGTCAAGCAAACAAATTAATATTATTGACAAGCAGGGGCGGATTTAGGGGGGCGAGGGTGTTCACCCGAACCCCCAAATTATACTGTATATATAAGGTAAAATCTGTTTTTTATCTCTATATATTATATTTTGAATCCCCTTACATAGTCCAAATGCATAGCTTAGTGGTCAAGCGAGTTCAAAGTTTTTGTAAGGTCATTAGTTCTATTCCCACTAGCTACAATCTTTCTATCTTTTTTCTTTTTTTGAACCCTATTGTTAAAAATGACAATTGTATAATTTCTAAGAAGAAGGTATAAGTTATCCCGGTACTAATTTCAATCCCGGAATAACTTATACCAGATTTGCTAACCAAACAAAATATTAAGATGATATTAATTTTTTATATCATTTTTATACCTTCTTATACCTCATACCAAACGACCCCTAAGTAAGCTGATTGAACCCAAGTTCAGTGAGGTGACAATAAGTGATGAGGAGGTTGCTTTAATAGTTGAGTAATTTGAGCACTAATCCAAAGTAAGTTACAAGTTCGAATCGCGCAAAGTAATAAACTAGGACAAAAAAGAAAAAAAAGTTTGGAAAATAAGTCATAAAGTAAGATAAAATTTTCGTTGGGCCAACTATCCTTCTTTCACATCCAGGATAACAGATTGAAACATTTCAGTGGCGGCTTAACAAAGTAGGTGACCTAAAGCAAATTTTTGTAAAGAGGCCTTAAGTTTTTTCTTTTAAACTTGGAGTTTTGACACAGTTACCCACAAAAACAAAATTATTTACCTTTGTCTATTTATTTGTTTTCCTACCTATAAACTAATTACATTTCCTACCCATAGTAGGTTTTGTGGGGAATTTTTTCTTTATTCATCAATTCTTTTTATTTCTATGCTTCTTTTTTTTTCTTTTTTTTTCTTTTCTCCTTTTTTTTTCTCGTTTTCTTCTTATTTTTTTCTTTTTTCCTTTTCTAATTTCATTTAACTTCTATTATTTTATATTCTTTTTCTCTTCATAATCTAATTTGATTTATCGTTTTTATTATTATTTTTTTTTTATATTATTACTAAAGAAAAATTAAATTGTGTACCAATTAAATGTAGTTAATACAACCAAAAAAATATTAACCAACATATGATACCAGTATAGTATATAGCTATACCAACAGGGTATACAATTGTACGCAAAGAGTTAAAAAAATTTAATTCAATTATTAAAATGAAATAATATCAGTTGTGAAAAAAAATTAAAAAATTCTAAAAGGATCTAATTGTAAGAGTATACCGTTACATCATATAGCATATATATATATATATATATATATATATTGCATTTTCAATTTGCCCCTCACGCTAGGTAAAAGCTTAAAACAAATTAAAAGGGAAAAGACAAGTGAATTTACGGGTAATAAGTATACTATTATAGTATATTGTATACTATTACAGCATATTGTTACAGTATCTTGCATATTATTACAGTATACCATAACAATATATTGTATACTATAATAGTATACTGTTGCAATATAACTATATACTCCTATAGTATATTAGTATACTGTAGCGGTATACTGTTTTGTAAACTATAATAGTATAGTGTTGCAGTATAGCTATATACTCCTACAGCATATTGTATACCGTAGCGGTATATTATAGCTGTGTTCTTCGATTTTCAACTGAAAATTTCGATCTCAATCACCTCAAATCAGCTCCAAACGCTATCAAATTTCAGTATGAACTTCCAGAAGGTACTATAAGCAATATTTAACAGCACCCACTTTGAATCAAACAAGAAATCTTCAAAATAAAAATTTTAAGCCAAGGCAAGAGCAAAAGCTAGGGAAAGAACAATCAAGAAAAAATGGAGCAAAATTGAAACTAGCCATTTTCGTTAGTGGAGCAGAATTGATCCACATAATCTTCGTTAGTTTGAGCGTTGGTAATAAGAAGGTCAAAATCTTTACCCCTACCAAAACGTTTGGATTTAAATATTTTTAATTTCAAATTACCAACAAAAATAAATTGATCAAGAGTTGTAATAGAATCATAATCAAGATATAGTCAAAATCTTTAGCACTTTTAGATAAATTGAATTGAATCAAAGCACTGATTCTTCAAAAGTGCTAAAGATTATGTGCTTTGATTCTTCAAAGCACTGATTCTTTTAGATGGATGGAATTGAATCAACGCTGATTCTTCAAAAGTGCTTTGATTCAGAAAACGCTGAGAGTTTAGATGGATAGAAGTGAATCAAAGCACGGATTCTTCAAAAGTACGCACAACAGGGAACACGTGTGAAACCACATGTGGATCAATATGTGCCCTCGTCCAAATTCTCTCTGTTGAAAGAAAAGCTATTTTAATAGAGTAAATAAAAAACCGGGTAAATAGTTTGGGCTTCATGGATAGGAGTAGTAAATAGTTTGGGCCTGGGTATTAAAGGGTAAATAGTTTGGAATTAATGGGTATAAAGTGAGATTTTCTCTTTAAACTTTCATATATATTCTTATTTAAAGTTTATTTTATAGTTTATTGAGATGCAAAATTATTAAGTAATAATTTTTTTATAATCAATTCCTTCTAATATTTTTTTAATTGATAATATAGTTAATCAATCACATGACTAAATTCATATTTAATTGATAATTTACCTTAAAATATTAAATGTATTTTGAAAAACTAAACCGCAAAATTCATATTTAATAAAAATAGGCCCCCCAAAATTTTGGGGGCCTAAAGCCTTTACTTCAGTTGCTTTGGCCTTGAGCTGGCACTGAAACATTTCTTCCTTAAGGTGTTAGCGGTCGTTTGGTAGGGTGTATAAGAATAATAGTGAATATGATGTATTAGTAATATTATGATTAGTTATGTTGAGATTATTTTTTATTGACGATTTGATTTGATGTCTTAAATATTTTGAAGGACAGTTCTATCTTTATACATGGCTTATCCATGTATTAAAAATTATGGTATTGCTAATACCATAGTTTGCTATGTATAAGAATAAGGAGTATTAAATATGATGTATTAGTTATCCATAGGTTGAAAAACACTACCAAATAAGGGATTAAAGTAATTAATACATGCATCATTCTCCCTTATAAATCCTACCAAACGATCCTTAAGTCATAATGTAACAGGATAACATAAATTAGCAACGATTGCACAAAAATTAAATTAAAAGAGAATGCCTCTTCTATAGTAAATGCTTGTCTATTTACAAGAAGTAAATTTCAGCACATTTCTATCTACATTGGCAATACTAATGTTCCCCTCTTAAGATTAGCAAAACAAAACTGGATGAAAGTTTTTCCCATGTAAAATCTACATTGAGGTCATCTTGCATTATCCTAAAAAAATGTGAAAAAAGGAGGTTATCTGTAGTAATTTCCAAATTGGGAAAGAACAAAAAAAGTTTACATATTTGCACTCCTGATTAGACTGCAGTGAGGCTAAGGGAAGAGGCCTGAGACGTGCCATTGAAAGACTCTACGGAGACAAAGATGGGCTGTCAAAAACATAGACGAGGCAGGGTCCAAGGCATAAGGGGCATGATGACTTGACGTCATCCTCACCTTCCTCCGGCTTATCACCGGCACTCAATTCAAGGTTTCAAACTAAACGATAGCAACTAAACACGAGGGTTGCACTCGTTGCAGGACTTAAGCCAAAACACCTTATGGCACGAGGTGACGATCCTGATTAGACTGCAGTGAGGCCACTACTGTATCTTGGCCTTGTTCTATCTGGTGATAGATTTTCTTCCATGGCCTTTCTCTTGTTGTTATTATTATTGGCTTGTGATTTTTGTTGCTGTTGTACTGTCTCTGATTCTGTTTGTGGTTCTGCAGGCTCTTGTGCTTGTGATTGAACATTTGCAATTTCAATAGATTCTTGTTTTGGTTTTGTGACCATTTTCTCAGCTTCTTGTTGGGGCAGGCTTTTACACTTAGTTTTCATCATATGGGGTCTAAGCTTATTAACATCTGATAATCTCACTGGTTTCAGAAAAAATTCTTCTGCCCCTTCTTCTAAACATCTGGTTAATTAATACACAATAAAACCATTAGTTTTCAACACTCGAACAACAACAACAACATATCCGGTATTATCCCACACTGTGGGCTCTGGAGAGGGTAGTGTGTACGCATGCCTTATCCCTACCTTGTGATGATAGAGAGGCTGTTTCCAATAGACCCGACCCTCGGCTCAGGAAAGCATAAACACCACATTAATGAAAATTGATTTGTTTGTGTAAAGAAAGAGAACATTTTTCTTATGTTCTTACCTACTAATTCTTGAAGGAACATTTTCAGATGACATAATGACTACAGGTATATTTCTCAGAGATGAAGATTCCTGTCAGAGAAGAAAAATATAAATATAAAATAAATTGGAAGAACTAAATGAAGTTTCAATAGGGTTCTAAAAATAGTAACTGAAAACCATAGGGTAAATGCCCTTTCAATATCTAGTATGCAGTATATAGATATGCAATATTTTTTAATTAGATTCTCAATTTAAAGGTGAGAAAAGGACTCCAAGTGGGGAGAGCCTTTCACAGAAATAAAAGATTAAATTTTTACTATTTTGTCCTAAAGTATTTTCCAAGAAAGTAAAGCACACCTTAATTTTCTTTAGCAAATCATAGCCTGTCATCCCAGGCATACAGTAATCTGTGATAATAAGATTAACTTCCACTTCCTGCAAATCCAATGGGGAAAAAAAAATTCTTGCTGTCAAATTTTCTTGGAAAAATCAGTGGGAAAGTCCAAGAAAAATATATAGAAGGGAAAATTATTATTATTATTATTATTACCTGTTGGTTGCTAGGAGAAACACAAGGTTGATTTTGGTCATGCTCTTGTAAACCAAGAAATTCCAAAGCTTTACTTCCAGAATCTACAGTAGTGACTGCCATTAACAAATGCAAAATGCCCACAAAGAAGACAATTAATTAATACTAAAAAAAAAAAAAAACAGAGAAATTATATGTGAATAAGTTAGAATTAAGAGTTACCTTGGCAAGAAGAGATTCTAAAGAGCCTTTCAATAAGCTTTCTATCTATCAAGCTATCATCAACAGCTAAAACATGAAACTGTAGATCTGCAGCTGCCATTCCCATTTCTCAAACTCTTTTTTCAAAACAAAATAGAAATGAAAAATGGACAAAAGTTGGGTTTATTTTCTTTCTATGGTGATGATGCTGATGAGTTTGGAATTAAATAAAAACCCAACAAAGCAAGATCTGACCAGAATATTTCCAAATTTTCCAAGCTGGTTTTGAGTTACAAGGCAAGCAATAGGAAAGACCAATCAAATAATAGAAAGTGGAAATATATAAAAAGAAATTAGATTACCAAAAAGATTACAAATCTAGAACATGGGGTTGGCTGCTTTTTATTATATTGCTTGATAATGATGATGATTCTTGGAGGTTGTGGCTTTTACATGTATATAAGTTGAAAAAGAAAAATACAGAGAGATATATATAACTTTCAATTTATACTACACGCTTGTGTATTTTAGAATATTTCAAAGTTTTGGCACTATTCCATTTTTATACAACATTCATATTTTCAAGAATTAATAGTATATATTAGTAGATCAATAAACCACCAAAGGATGTGGTGCAGTGAATGAGATTGTTGTTCCTTTAATCAAAGGTCTCGGGTTTGAGCTATGGGTATGGAAAAATCCTTAGTAGGGAGCGCTTCCCCCGAATGGAGCCCTACGCGGCGCGAATTCAGATATAGTCGGGCTCCAATGCGGGTATTGGACACCAGATAAAAAACCAAAAAAAAAAAAGAAAAGAAAAAAAGATCAATAAACTAACTTTTTAACTAAACATATAGTAGTTCGTTTCATTTTATGTGATATTTTTTCTTTTTAATTTGTTAAAAAAATGACATCTCCCTATAATTTGTTAAATTTTTATTTTACTCGTAATAAAATAATTTTATAGCCACGTAATGTCATGACGTGTTTAAGATTATATTTCAAAATTTTTTCTTTCTTTCTTAAATACCGCAATTAGTGGCAAAGCTAAAGGAAAAAAAGGAGGTTCAATTCAATGTCCTTCGTCGAAATTATATTGTGCAAGTAAGATAAAATATTTTTTATTATATATAAATTATTATATCGCTTTTGATACTCTGAAAGATTTTAAAAGAAACTTAAATTTAATTTTTTTAATTTTACGTTTCATGAAAATATTTTGTTGTCACAAAATGTTTGACGTGTTTAAAATTATAATTCAAAACTATTTCTTCCTTTTTTAAATACCAACCCACGGGCAAAGCTAAAAGGAGGATTAATTCTATATTGTGTAAGCCAGATAAAAATAATTTTTGTTATATGTAAACTGTTAAATCGTCCTTGACGTGAGGAAGATTTTAGTGCAAAATGGGTTAGAAACTTATGTGGGCGTTTTGGACACGAGAATTGTAATATTCCAAAAAAAAGTGAAAAAAAATTTCAAGTGAAAATGGTATTTGAAAATTAAAGTTGTGTTTGGACATGAATATAATTTTAGGTTATTTTTGAAGTTTTGTGAGTGAAAATTCTTAAAAACAGCTTTTTGAATTTTTCAATTTTTTTTAAAAATTTAAAAAATGCATCATTAAGTGAAAATTGGAAATTTTATGAACAAACGTTGATTTCGTAAAAAAGTAAAAAAAAAAATTGAAAAAAAAAAAATTATGTCCAAACGGGCTCTTATGTGGGCGTTTGGACGTGTGAATTATAAAATTCCAAAAAAAAAAATTTCAAGTGAAAATAGTATTTGAAAATTAAAGTTGTGTTTGGACATGAATATAATTTTAAGTTATTTTTGATGTTTTGTGAGGGATCTGAGTCTAAATTTTGAAAAAATAACTTTTTGGAGTTTTTCAAATTTTCGAAAAACTTCAAAATTAATCTTTAAGTGAAAATTGAAAATTTTATAGCCAAACATTGATTTAAAAAAAAGTAAAAAAAAAAATTCGAAAAAAAGTGAAAAACATTCTTATGTTACGGGAAACTATTTTTTGGGATTTAAAAGAGCAAGTGGGAGTTGGGTGTTTTGGAGGAAGGAGGGGGGGTGGGTGGGTAGTGGGTTGTGGGGACCCACAAAAATCCACCAAGAGATACAGGTGATGTAAGCAGTTGTGCCCTTTTCCTGGTATGAAATTTATCATATCTTGAGCAGGTGAGGAGTGGTGCAAAGACATGGCAATTTCTTTTGATCCCTTTTTGAGATTTGTTTCCCATGGCCATTCATTGTGTGCTCCATACATATATGTTTCCTCTGATCCATTTGTTTTTTTTTTATTTATTCGATGTCACGTTGAAATTCGATTAAATTTAAATTACCTCGAAAGATTGAACTAGAGACTTCGATTAAAAGTAGAAGAATGTACTTACAATTCCACCATAATCCTTATTAGTGTGACCTGTTAGTATTCATGCATCTCTCATATTTTGCATCGTTTAATTACCCACAAAATTTGATATGCTAAATCGATCGATTTGTATATTATATTCTTAAGAAATAAAAAAAGTTAGAATCATATTAGAGTCGTAATTAAAACACTAACTCATTAAAAAAAAAGGCTATGTCAAATATTAAAGAACTCAAAATTCATTTAACTATTCAAAATTTAATATTCATTGTTCTTTATTTATGAGGATGCTGTTATTTGTTGTAATGACCGAAGTCACATGACCAGCAGATCATGGAATCTTCCAACAATTTGACTTAAAAGAGAATAAAATTACCACATTATTTTATTATTCGTCACGTTATATTTTTTACTTCTTCCTTTTTGTGATAATACAATAGTCACCACATAGAGAAAAATCATGAGACAAATAACCTCTTGCTTACTCTCTATATCTATCCAGTATTCGAGTTACTAAAACAGGTGCAGTTAATTACCAATATTGAAATGATTTCCGTATTAAGCTAAAATCATATATAATAAACATACATTAAAACCGTGAAAAAACATACATTAGAACTAAACCACGTACTTATATTTTTTCAGGATAGCAAAATGAAAGAAACAAAAGTGTATAGGGATTAAGTTTTAAACATATATAATTAGTACGTTTACTAAAGGGGCAATGTTTTTTAGAGAATCTATTAGAATTGTTAGAGATTTATATGCTGATAGAAAATGTAGAGGACTTCTAGTGTAAAGAAAATAATTTTTAAACAAATGAAATTGAGACGAGCTTAACTGAAACAACATGGAGAATAAGAATTTATACAGTCGACCTTAATTTATATAGAATTAAGAGGTAGCTATACATTGTTCTGTATTTTTAATGACATAGTTTCTTTTTAAATCCAAAATAAATATTTGCATTTCTAGAAATGAAAGAGCATAGCAAGAAAGCATAGGTTATGTGGATGTGTGTGAATATGGCTCCATTTTCACTTTGTTCAACTTGTAGTAATTGGATAGAGAAGATGAGAGGACAATTTTCTTGACCATTACAAACAATAGAATATGCTTGTGCAAAAAGATTTTCAAGAAAGGAAACAACGAGAGAAAAAACATCAATTGGGACCCCACAAAGATTCTATCAAATAAGTAGTTCCATAACTGTCACTGATTTTATGGTGTGCCTCACACAACTGTTGCTCTTTTTATCTTACTTCCTCCGGTCCAAAATAAGTGATTTTTTGGGCCTTTTTCTTGTGGTTCAAAATAAGTGATTTTTTCAGATTTCAAGAATGAATTAATTATTTTTTTCCTACATTGTCCTTGGAGTAAATAGTGTTGGAATATGTGTTAGGAGTGTTTATGTGAGATAGTAAAGGTTAATATGGTCAATTCTATTGCTAATTAATGCTAAAAGGTGGATTTCTTAATCTGTGTGAAAACATCCAAAAAATCACTTATTTTGGACTGGAGGGAGTACATATTTGTGGATCCATATCTTACATATTTGGGTCCATAAAATTCAGGGATCATAAAATTGTGAGACAAAAAAGAGTCTCACACAACTAGTGTCAGTTGTGTGAAATACAAAATAAAATATTTCATATCTGTCGATACTAAGGCCCCGTTTGGCCATAAGTTTTGTCAAAATAAATTTGAGATTTATTTTCAAAACTCATGTTTGGCCATAAATTTTGCTCATATTTTGGCCAAATCCCAAATCAAAAATTTCAAATTCCAAAATCAGCTATTGAGCTGAATTTGGGCCAAAATCCCAAAAATTGGGAATTATATACATGTTTTTTCAAAATAAAGTTGGAAAATATGTTTTGAAAACGTATGTCCAAACACATTTTCATCTTCAAACCAAACTTCACCCAAATCAAATTTTTCAAAATAAATTTGAGATCTATGGCCAAACGCTAGCTAAATGGTTGCTTAATTATTTCTTCTTTTGAAAATCTGTGAAAGAAAGACTATAGAAATTTGAAGGTGGTTACAGACTATTCTCTACCTTTTTTTTTAATATAATAATTATGGTGTCCGGATCAAATTAATTTAGTTTAATTTGTTTTTTTTTCCAAAGAGAGGAGTAATATTTGTGAAGGCATTGTTCATAGAAGAAAGATTCCCGACACAATATAATGTTTGGTACAACCTGTCGCACTTAATCCATACTCCAAATATTATAAAAATGAATCGTGTAGGGGGGGGGGGGGGGAGGGGGGGAGCAAAATGGATCCATTGTATTGAGCTTTTTCTTTATTGATGAGTTAGGTGTCTACGTTTATGTCACGATCCAAAATTCAACTAGTCGTGCTAGTAGCTAACCCAACCCTTTATCCAATTTCAATAGAATTTAATGAAACAATAAAGGAAAGAAAATATCTTAATCCTATACATTTTCCAAGAACTAGTAGTACAAATCATGAGCTTGTAAGAATAGAATTTACAAAGCTGGTATGAAATAAATACATCATCTGTCCGAAAAGTACATAAACAGAGTTTTTTGAATCTAAGGCTACCACGAACAAGAGGTAGCTACAATTGGAATGCAGGTATGTCTTCAAGTCCAGCTCCCGTCGAACACAACAACATCATCAGTCAACATTTTCATGCAAGGTGCAGAAGTGTAGTATGAGTACAACCGATCCCATGTACTCAATAAGTAACAAACCTAACCTTAGGCTGAAAGTAGTAACGAGCTGGAACGGAACTTAGGTCAGGTCCAACATCCAATAGCCAACAACAAAAACCGCCGAAAATATGAGTAAGTTTGAAAACTGTGAGTTTTCCCAAAAATCCTTTCAACATTAAATATGATGTTTCATTTTCTCTCCAGATAGCAAGTGTAAAATACCTCTTGATGCCCATATGTCAATATATGTGAGAAGTCATGAATGACGTGATACCGTACAACATGAGGAAAATGCATCTCTATGCCTGTATGTCATGTGCATATCAAATGCGATACGACTCAGTGATAAAACCATATGCATACTCTTAGAGTATCAATTCACTCAGTCCTCACA